TATCTTACCTTTTTTCACCTAGTTAACTTTTTATTTATTTATTCATGCATATTTTACTAATCACATTACATTTCATTTAGCTGACGCTTTTATCCAAAGCGACTTATAATGACCGATTACAGGGACATTCTCCCTGGAGTAACTAAGGGCTAAGTGCCTTACTCAAGGGCACACTAGTGCTGGTGTTCCTGGCGGGATTTGAACTCACAGCCTTCCGATCTTCAGCCCACCTCACTATACATTAGACCAATCACTACCCTCTCAAATGGAAATATGTGTTTACATAAATGGTGACCACACCGTTTGAGACCCACTGAGAACTTAGACTAAGTTAACTATCTAAACACTCAGAGAGTCCTTTACCTCACCTGAGCTGAGGTTATCCCGAGCTTGAATGACACACAGAGACCAATCAAGGGCTTTGATTTATGATCTGTATGACAGTGGCCATGTCGGCAGGCCACATCATGTGGACAGCCAGTCACCCTGTGTGAGGCAGGCCACTTAACAGGCCAGAAGGAGGCGAGATCAGAGCAAGGGAGCGAGGGATCATTGTCTACAAGTTAATCGATCGCAGATGGCGTCGTGGTCACGGACGAATAAAAAAAAAAAAAACATTAAAAAAAAAATTAATAAATAAAAATAAATGGGTCGCGAAATATACTTGGGCGGCCGTTAATATACCTGGGCGGCCCGCCCAGGTATAGTCTATGTGTGGGAAACCCTGGCGTTACTTGTAACGCGTTAGTCCCAACACTGCTTATCAGTAACTTTAGACATCGTAACACAATTTTAAACGAGATTTGATTGTAGATTATACATTTTACTGATACCAATTGTATGATATTTACCTTGTTCATTAAAAATAAAAATATAAAATATATATCTTTTTTAAATATATATTTTTTAATTTAATTCTTTTTTTTTGTATGTGGGAAGAGGTGGGGCGGCGCCCCTAGCGCCCCTATGGGCCGGCCGCCACTGGTTAGCCCACATATCTGTACTGCTAAGCCTTGTATTGGCTACTTAGCTTACTTCGTCTTCTTCATCAGCCAGCTTCCTTGGTATCTGTTGTTCTCTGAGTTGATTCCCCCCCTTCCATCTTGATGTTTCTTGGCATCTCTTATGACCATTTATGAATGAGTTACTAACATTTATAACTGCCAAAAGGGAGCTATTGTAAAGTGTAAAACACATTCCCATTTATTATGAGTTACAACCATTTATAATTGGTAAATGGGAGCCTTATTGTAAAGTGTGAAACATTTACTGAAAGGGTACGTTGTTTTTAAGTTTAATACACATAATAATAATAGCTTGGATTTATATAGCGCCTTTCATTCAATGTAGCAACTAGCATCACAAACACCGACCAGCAAGGGAAGCGGAAGTGACTTGGCTGCTATTTATACTGAGCTACGGGAGCCTGCTAAGATTGACTGCGCTGTTTGTTTTTAACCTGGGTTACACTTTTCCCCCCTGATCTCATGTACGTCTCGGACATAGACCTGGTTGTGTGCTAATTGGTTGCTGTGATGTGTGCAAGGGAAGCTCAGTGTCTGTTAAAGCGTATGTGAAGGCAGTAGCCAACCCATGAAACAGTGTATGTAAGGCAGTGGTTCCCAAACGGTGTGCCGTGAGGCCAGTCCGGGTGTGCCGTGAGATTTTGTGACAACCATACATTATTATTGCAATATACAACTACAAAAACATAATTATTTTTAAATTTACTATATCAGTACTTTGTAGGTTTATATATACGTAATCTGCGCGATTTGCGCGTCCACATCTCAAAGTGCAGTGCTGCATTTCATGCTGAGTCAGCGATAACTTTCGAGGGGTGGAGGCAGGGGCGCCGTTAGGGCTGTGCATCTTCACTGGTCTCACGATTCGATTCGATTATCCTGTCAACGATTCGATTCAATTCGATATCCCGATGCATCCCGATGCATCACGATTCATACCAATGCGTTGCATCCTCAATTTTCTATATTACTGCACATGGCTTATTTTTCATCAATGCATACATGCAGTAAATACATATGAACTCTCTTTTTATTATTTAGAAAATTACTTCAGAAATCAAAAACATAAATGTCTTGACATTCATTTATAAACCAAAATAAATGAATTGTATAGGTCTAGCCTCCCTATATCTGTGTGTGAAGTTGTTCCATCCTCAAAAACAAAAAAATAATGCTTCTGCAGTCTAGCTGCAGCTTCTAGCAACGGTCTTCTGTTAAAAAAGGACACTGAATGTGGCATCACACACAGGACTTGAGTCTGAACACAGCAGACAACAGGAGTATTTACAACAGCATATACAAACAAAAATAGTGCATGTGGGTGCACACTTACATTCTCTGTCTTACTGTTACATAAATCCCATGAATGTATGAGATTAAATTAGCTTCATCATATCTCAGTGATTAAGTGAATAATAAAGTTTCTATCGGGTCACTATCAACCTGTCACTCATTATTTTCAGGGAGGGGGCGGGGTTTGGAGGAACGGAGAGGAGACGGTGATCGCGGAAGCTTTTTTCCTCCTGCCTTCACAAACTTTACACATGTATATATCGTCTGAAAATTGCTAGAGGACATTCATACTTTGCAATCCAAGACTTAATTAAATCCACCAAAAACCTGACATGATTGTAACGCGATTATTTTTGAAAAACATAAATCCCTGTGCCGCAGCGACACGAAGTGATTCAGAGCTGGTCCTTCTGCTGTTGGTTCTGGACTGGTGGTGTTGTGTTGGTGGATAAAGCAGACTGCTACGTGTTTGGTGTTGCTGTGCCGCTGTCACGTCTGTTCCCTGATCTCTGCGTCACCGACCGATTTGATATTAAAGTGACAGAAGAAAAAAAACGTTATAGTAAAGCCGCGGCCGGAAAATCAGGAAGCAACGTTACTACGCTATAACCAATTATCTTCCGTCACTGCATCGAGACCGAATCGTCCACGTCCGCATCGCAATGCATCGTAGAAACGATTATTTGCAACACCCCTAGGCGCCGTAAGGGGGGGAAAAGTTAGGACGATTCTAAGGGCCCGTGACTGACAGGGGCCCAAACAATTGGGGAACATTAAGAGGAAAAAAATGTAAGTAACCAATGTGATATTTTTTCATGGGGCCCAAAATCCCTGGCGGCGCCCCGTGGAGGTATGCCCATTATTTTGAGTTCGTCCGAAGAATAGACAGGAATGTGACGGTGAGGTGCAAACTGTGTCCAGGCCAGAAGCTGTTATCCGCTGCTGTAAACACCACGTCAAACCTCAACAAACACCTGCAAAGAACACATGCTTTTTTGTTTATATCACGGAGTCTGTTCTTCTTCTCTGTCTTCCGGTTGTTGCCTGTTTTGAATGACAAATACACACTACCGCCGCCTGCTGGTAAGCAAAGTTATTGCCACTCACGCATGCGCAGTTCGTACGTGCTCGGCGAGTAAAGTAACGAGTTACTTTATGTAGATAGTAACGAAGTAGTGTAATATATTACTTTTAAAAAAAAAGTAATATGTAATATATAACGACCCCATCTCTAGAGTTGGCGTTCTCTACTCTGGTTTACATGAAGAACAACAGGAGGTCACGGCTCTCTGTTGAACAGGACTTGCGAGTGGCCCTCTCCTCAGTGCCACCAAGGATTAAAACATTCTGTGCGCCCCGACAGGCACATGTATCTCACTAATTTGTAAGTCGGCAAAAATATTTACAATAGCACATGTTTCAATGCTGATTGCTGAAATGTTACATTTATATTTTTTAGTTCAGGACCATGGACAATGCAGCTTCCTTGCATTGACAGTTCTCTGTGCTGAATTTCTGCTTAGTTTCCTTAGCCTCATTTTTAATTTGGTGACCTGTCTGGTTTAAATGAGTGTGTTGCTGCTTTGATGAAGCCTAATTTGATAAAGTTTCAAATTCATTTCTAAAATATTTCGTTAATAAATATTTCATGAGTAATATAGTTGTCTTTGTCACATTTTATTTGGCATTAGTAAATAATTATGCACATTTACAGATATTTTACATGATATGAGTGATAACACGTGTTATAAGGGCTATTTTGCACAATAGGTGTGCCTTGAGATTTTTACTTGTCCTTTGGTGTGCCTTGGGCACAAAAAGTTTGGGAACCACTGATGTAAGGTGTCTAATACTGGTTGTCCAAGTTTTGCGTAACAAATTAGTTCTGGTGGTTTCCTGTTCCTAGTTGAACGTCTTGGAAGTTCATCCACATCCACATTGTCTGAAGTGGAGATTGGCAAGTCATCGTCTTCAGAGGAATGGGCCCTTTCCTCTTAAGCAATGTCCGCTTGTTCCTCTTCAGTTTTTTCCAGTTCAGAGAGGTTCTGAGCAGCATCCTCTGCTGCTGCACCACCAGAGGCTGTGTTATTGGTCATTGGTAGTAATGTACTGGAAGGAGAACTAATGGGGTATGTCAAGTATGGTGGTGAATCTTGAAAGCTCAGAGATGGGCAATTCACTGTACCAGTATATTGGGTTTTCATCTTCATCAGTGTCGACGTGATTTTTTAGATGTTCTGTGTTGGAACGAGTTATGGGCTTGCGGATTTGTGTCGGAATTGGGATTTCTGGGGAAGATAGGTACCCACAAGAAAGAAGGAGATCTCTATTACCTCATTCACACCAACGCAACTCCGGTTCAAGCTCCGTGCTAGAGCTTTTCAGGTTCAGAACCGGTTCTTCAGTTTAGCTCCGGCTCTTTTCACACCGCCCAGAGTCCGACTGGTGCTGCGTCATTGCGTCATCGTGTGCGTCATGACGTAACCGTTTGCGTGCCTGCTTCATAAAGCCAAACCGCGTGGAAACCCCTCACAGCTGACACCGACAACAACAACAACAACATAACAACATTGTGCTCCAGCTTCCTCTGTAAACAAACATCTGCTACCTTCTCTTTAAACTCAATGAGTTTCACAAAAATGTTTTGGGTTAATTTAAATCTTTGTCTCCTCTGATTAGAACACCTGGCATATGTCTTTAAAACGGCGGTTCAAAGCTGAAAGGACGCCCCTGGTCCACCACGAGGTAGTTCGAAACATGAAGCAAAAGTTTGGGCATCATAGATCACCCCAAGCACCAGAAAATAACCAGGGAAGCATAACGACTTCTGTCAGATGATCTTGAGTGAGTTTATTCCTATCAGCCTGTATACACTTAAAACTGAGTCAGTAAATACAGTATATAGAAAATGGTGGCACTGCTATATTAAGCCAGGCTCATGTTTGTCATTTGTCTCCATCTGTCTTGTCTATCTGCAGGACATCATTTCTGTTTCTGGGGAGGACGAGTCCTCCATTGGTGCACACACACAGGTTTTGAAACGACAATACCTGAAGACCCAGCCTGATTCCTGCATCGTTACCAACGCAATGACAAAGACATTTCAGTGGAGGAGAAAGGAGGTGGCTGAGGGGGTACGGGCTGATACTATCGCCAATAAGTATCCATTCTTGAAGACACCTGCTGGGGTATGTAAAATATGTAACCCTTCGCTACTTGCACGCGTAGTGTTCCGTCCATACAATCAACCTCTCTAAATTGTACTGTGTTGTCTTTGTTTCTGTCCGTCTATGCAGTTGTGTGAGGAAATGAACCGCATCCACAACATTGAAAACCTGCAGCACCGCTTCAGAGAGGAATTTCTCCTCATTCTACCCAAGGTGCTGGCCCTTGCAAGAGGAAAATCCCCTCTGGAGAAGATATATCTGCAGGCAGGACAAGAGTCACTGAGCGAAGATCTACCAGGTAATGCTGTCTGTGTACAGGTGTCACTGCGTCGTAGGGCTGCTCGATTATGGCAAAAATCCTAATCACGATTATTCATTGACTTTGAAAACATCCATTTATTGAACTTTAAAAAATATATATTTTGAACAATATGTTTTAACAGTTGATTACCCTGTAATGTAACGTAAAAAAAACAAAAACATTTATATCTACATTTAAATAAATAATATCAAAATAATAAATACAGAAGATAAACAAATATTTTGGAGCGCACTTCCACAACCTACTAAACATATATAAATATGATAACTAATGTCACTCACAACCTGTAATGTTTAATTATACTGCTACACGCAGTACTCTTATTTTGGTAACCCCTCACCTGGAAACAGGAAGTAGTTAAGAGGCTCCGGCTTGACGAGGTTAGTAAAAGTTGACTGTACGCTAGAGATCGGAGAATAAAGACACAGCAACTAAAGCTTCCCTTGTAACGTATGGATTTATTAAACAGACTGCAAGACACAACCTGGCCGAGCGGGCTTTTAGGGAGGGCAGGATGTGTAACGCAAGACACATTGAGAGCATCATTGCGAAAGGGAATGCACAGATTAATTGCACAGCCCTACTGCGTCCTAGCTTCCACCCTCACTTGCCCACGTGGGTACGATCTCATCCTCTGACTTACAAACTCTTGTGACCACCTCAAACACCACCAACTACGCCACTGAAATGCTAGTATTCAATGGTGCGGGTGGGCGATTTATACTGAGGAGTGAGTTTAATCAATTCAACTCACTTACATCTGCACACATTGCTCCCTTTTCTAATAGCAGACCGTGTTCCACCAGATAGTAAATATTGGAATGTGTTCCTCTTGTGTCGTGAGATTTCAGATATTGTCATGGCATCTACAGTAAAAAAGCGGTGTCTTCCCATGTTAGACTTACTTGTACAGGAGTTCCTCGGAGAAATGAAAGACGTATTTGGGATCATTACACCCAAGTGCCATTATATGATACAATACTCTCGACTTATGTTAATGTATGGACCTCTTCGATCCCTTTGGTGCATGCAATTTGAAGGGAAGCATCAGTATTTTAAAAATGTTGCCAGTAATTGTAGAAACTTCATTAACATAGCTACAACACTAAGTAGCCGTCACCAATACAAACAGTGCTGGGAGTTTTCCTCCAAGATTTTATGTGACTTTGAAAAAGTACCAGGAAAGAGTATTGGCACACCATTTGAATCTTTACCAGCCCAACTTCAGACAGCTCTTTCAAACTTTGTAGGAATTGATTTGAATGGCAAGGTTGTTCAACGTGTATCTGAGGTTTTATTACACAATGTTAAGTATGCCTTAAAGGACATTTTCGTTATTGCTACAGTTCATTCTGAGGAAATTCCCTTGTTTTTTGAGGTAAAATACATTTTAAACATGGACACAAAATGGGTTTTGTGTGGGAAAATGCTGATTCCAGTATCATATCTTAAACATTTCCATGCATACCAAGTCCAGTATGACACTGATTGGTCATGTTTTCTGCCAGGCCAAGAGATCAATTTTTCACCTCTTGATAGCTATACCGTGGATGACAAATTGTTGGTGAATATTTCCAAGTAATATTGTGACTGGGTGACTGACTGACCGACTGGGTGACCAGTATGACACTGGTCATATTTTCACATCTTTATATAGCTATGCAGTGGATTACAAATTGTTGTTGAATATTTCAAACTAATGAGAATTGTGAAGCTTTGATAGATTGCTGTATTTATGAAAATGTGTTTCATTGTATTGGTGAATGTTTCACCCATTGATATATATACTGTGGATGACGGGTTGTTGGTCATCAGTATATCAAAAGTATTTTTTTCTATATTGATGGGTTATTGAACATTTATTTTCATTTTTCAGCGTTCGTAGGAAATTAATTGATGCTTTTATTGATTATTGTTGTAGCATGCAAGTTGCCATTTATATTATGTGCTGACTTTCTGATGGGAGTGATGTGAGGGATAACGTGTTTTGATATTGATTAAATGAGATTAAACTAAAATATTTGGATTTTTGCCTGTTTTGTCTGACAAAAACCTATGCTCACTTTTAAAGGTACAATAAAGTGACAAATGTATACCTGAAAGGTACAAATAGCCTTGTCACTGGGGTGGTACCCTAAAGAGACAAATTTGTACCATTTCAGAAGGTACATGTATATGTACCTATGTAAAAGGTACATATTTGACCCTTGAGGTACATACAAAGGTACAATGTACAAGGGTACAACTTTGTACCCATAGTTTTTGTACCTTTTTTTTTACCTTTAGGGTACCACCTCAGTGACAAGCGTTTGTACCTTTTTAAGGTCTTTTTCGTACCTTTTTTTCTGAGAGTGTACCTCTTCGGAAGACCAGATTCCCAGTAGGTAGCTGGTCTCTTCAGTGGACCACTGCTGCTTGTTAAGTTTCTCCATCGTTGTGTACAAACTGGATAAAACGCGGGCTTTTTGTTGTTGTTCAGGAGTTGATCCCGACCCTGCCCCCGCCTCGACGTAAGCGCGACGTATGCGGTGCTTTTGCTCCAGCCGGACAATTTTTTGGTGCCTGAAACGAACCGGATTCCGGAGCTAAGAGGCTGCTCCACTGCGGTGTGAACAGGAAAACCCGGTGCTTTTCAAGCTCCAGCTCCGAACCGGCCCTGAAACACTGTTGGTGTGAATGAGGTATCTGTAATGTACGTTGCGGACTATCTTTTTTCTCTGGCCTAACTGTGTAGACAGGCAATGTTCCAGCTCTTTTGGTAACAACATACACTTCAGATTCCCATTTGTCTGATAGTTTATGCTTTCCTCTCAGACGTACATTTCTGACGAGGACACGGTCTCCAATGGAAAGATCAGCAGCAATGACATGTTTGTCCAATCTCATTTTGTTCTTCTGCATGATCTTTTCTGCGTTTCCAGTTGCTATCTTGTAGCTCTCCTCCAAATGAGACTTTAGATCTTGGACATATTGAGAGTGAGATGTATGCTGTTTGTTTGTAATAGGTAGTCCAAAGGCTAAATCAATTGGTAGGATGAATACTCAAGAGTGTGCGATTGAAACGCTCAACTGGGTTTCATCTTGGGTGGTATGGTGTTGTCCTTATTTTATGAATTCCTGTGATTTGGCATAGTTCCTTTACTGTCCTGGATTCAAAGTCCGGTCCCTGATCGCTGTGTAGTTTGTCTGGAATTCCGTAGTGAATGAAAACGTTTTCCCATAGACATTTAGCCACTGTCCTGGCCTTCTGGTTGGGTGTGGGAATAGCAATGGCATACTTGCATGGCTTTGCTAAATGCTAGGTTGATAGCAAACAAAACGTTCCTGCTAAATGACTTCTTCACCTATCGTGAACTGGATTTTATGTTTCTGACGGACCTGGGTCCACGCTGGCGAGTATACACCGTTCTCTGAACTTCTTCCTCCTGACTGTACATTCTTCAGCTCCCCCCGTACCACCGGCCATGGTGGGGGCATAGCATCAGTGTTTAGAGCTAGCCTCCAATGCTGATTGCTTCACCATGTAACTAGCTACGCTAGCTTTGAGTTGCAGCTTTTTGAACTGAACCCGGCCTTGCCTATACTCTGCGCAGTTGTGTATCGTCCGCCAAAGTGCAATAAGGATTTCATAAATGACTTTTCTGACTTTCTGTCCGGGATAAAGGGTGAAATATGATCGTGTTTTGATCTCCGGAGACTTCAATGTCCATGTGCGTTGCAAGTCCAACCCTCTGGTTAGGGACTTTTTAAATCTCCTTGATTCTTTTGGTCTCATTGTCTGTGGATGAAATCTGTGCAGCAAGGCGTATCTCAGACCATTTACCGGTTCTGTTTACAACTTCGATCCCTTCCCCAGGAGTCGAATCACGTGCCCCTGCGCGTCATCTGTGTTCAATTAACCCCTTGACTGCCTCACAGTTTTCTTATGTTTTTAATGCTTCTCTGATCTGTAAATTAGAGGTGAACTGTGCTCTTAGTGCTGATGAGCTTATCTCCATGTTTGACTCGACATGTACCCTAATACTGGATTCTGTTGCTCCTTTTACGCTTAGACGCACCAAAGTTCTCTCAGAGCCGTGGCTCAATGACTGTACTCGTGTTCTCAGACACACCTGCAGAAGTGCAGAGAGAAAATGGAAAAAGGATAAACTCCATGTCTCCCTAGAAATCCTTCGTGCTTGCCTTTCCGACTACCAGACGGCAGTCAAAGCAGCCAAAACAGAGCACATTTCTCTGTTCATCTCCAAAAACAGCCATAAACCTCAGGTTCTTTTTAATGTCCTCAACTCTATCATTAATCCCTGTGATGTTTCTTCTATTGTGCCATCACAGACTCTCTGTGATACGTTTCTTACATTTTTTTCTTAGGCTATCCCACACTAGTGCTACCCCAGATCCTGCTCCTTTTCTGTGCCGTGCTGTCCTCGACCACTTTGAGCCTGTATCCCTCTCTTCTCTCTCGGATGTAGTTAAGCACCTGCGGCCGACAAACTGCACCTCAGACAGCGTTCCCTCTCGCCTTCTCAGAGATATATATATATATATATATATATATATATATGTATATGTATATATGTATATGTATATATATATATATATATATGTATATGTATATATGTATATGTATATGTATATGTATATATGTATATGTATATATGTATATGTATATATGTATATGTATATATGTATATGTATATATGTATATGTATATATATATGTATATATATATATATATATATATATATGTGTAGATATATCTCTCACAGGCTCCGCCCTCTACTGGACTCTGTGGGTACTACCCTCTATGCAAGCATTCACCGACTGAGATTTCTATAGACGTAGCCGGCCCCGGGGCGGGCCTACCTGAATGCGCACGCATCTCACCGCATAAAAGGAGGCCTTACCTCCTGACTATCATCCCTTTCTCTTCAGCGAGCGGGCAACATCTGAAGCAAAGATAAGACGTTTGAAAGAAGAAGAAAGAGTTATCATACCTCCAGGGAGTCGCCACTGCTAGAGACCCGGGCCTGTCCTTCGTGCCCTATCTGAAATAGCGGGCGCCGATCCCCACCACCTTTGCTTCGAGTGTTTGGGGGACCAGGATATGGTCGAGGCGGTGCCATTCACGTTCGCCATTCCTTCCGGGTCCGGCGTCCATGGAAGTCCACCGCCCAGGGCTGTACTCTCCCTGGATAATGATCATGGCAGCGGGTGTGTGGGCTACTCACTCATTGCTAGAGATGCCCCCGCCTCACCAGGTCAGAGCGATTATTGGGCCGCAAGGCAGAATAAGTAGCTTGGTCCACGGGCCTTGCCCCAGGCCCGGTTCCCCCGGGACTGGTGCTCGGTGGCTTCGCATGATATAGGGTCGACCCTACTTCATCACAGGCCGCCGCCGCCCGCCGTGTGATGTCCCTGGGATATCACGCCGCGTGGCACTTTCCAAAGAGGACCGTGTTGATCTCCTGGGAGCCCCCGTGTTTACGGAAGGGCTCTTTGGATCGATCTCCTTGCTCACGGGATAAGGCTTGCCCATCCCCAGAAGAAGAAACACTGTCCTACACCTCCCGCCCCTGCTGTAAACCCCAGTAAAGGGAGCCAGCAGGTGGGCGTGAGCAGGGGCGGACTGGCCATTGGGAATACCGGGAGTTTCCCCGGTGGGCCGGTGCTGTGTGTGGGCCGGAGGGCCCAAAAAGAAAAAAAAGAAGGAAAAAAAAGGTTTATACCAAAAACATATATATTTTTTTTGCCTAAATCCTGCCGGCCCACATTTGTAAGTGTTCCGGCCCAGCCCAGCCCAGTGGGGTGTGGCCAGGGTTGGGTTGTAACGGAATACATGTAACGGCGTTACGTAATCAGAATACAAAAATCAAGTAACTGTATTCAGCTCGCGTTACATTTGAAAAACGAGTAATCTGATTACAGTTACTTTCGTAAATCTGAAGTGAATACATTTTGGATTACTTATTGGAATTATTGGTGG